TGTGTGTGTGTGTGTGTGTGTGTGTTTTGAGACAGGGTCCTGTTCTGTCACCCAGGCTAGAGTGCAATGTCATGATCTTGGCTCACTGCAGCCTTGACCCCCTGGGCTTAAGCAGTCCTCCCACCTCAGCCTCCTGTGTAGCTGGGATCACAGGTGTGTGCCAGTGTGCCTGTGTAATTAAAAAAAAATTTTTTTTTTTGTAGAGATAGGGTCTCATTATGTTGCCCAGGCTGGTCTTGAACTCATGGGCTCAGGTGATCCTCCCGCCGTGGTCTCCCAAAGGGCTGGGATTATAGGCTTGAACCACTGTGCCCAGCCTAAAAGAAAGTTTTGAAAAGGACTCAGTCATTAACCTGAGCTGAAAAAGAGTTGAAAGGATGGACACTGGGTGTGGCCCAGAGGGCCAGGCCACAGAGGCAGCTGGCATAGCTCATGGAGGTGGCTGAGGTTGGCCTTAGTGGTTATATACTGTGAATGAAGAGCAGGTGAAAGGAGTTTAATTCACTCATTTAACAATAATTTGACCAAACTTGAGATTGATAGGAAGGTAGATCATTCTATTCTTGTGCTCTTTGCAAACTATTTTGACATGGGAGTTTTTATTTTTTTATTTTTTTGAAACAAGGTCTTGCTTTGTCACCCAGGTTGGAGTGCAGTGATGCAACCACAGCTCACTACAGCCTTGACCTCCTGGGCTCAGGCAGTACTCCCATCTTAACCTCCCAAGTAGCTGGAAGCACAGGCATGCACCACCACACCCAGCTAATGTTTTTATTTTTGTCAAGATGGTGACTCCCTATGTTGCTCAGGCTGGTCTTGAACTCCTGGACTCAAGCAATCCTACTACCTTGGCCTCCCAAAGTGCTGGGATTACGGGTGTGAGCCACCACGCCCGGCCAAGTTTTAATTATTTACATTTAAAGACGTTTTAAAGTCCTAGCATGTTGGCCTATGATGTTCACCCTTCCTGCATGCCTGCTTTTCCTGCAGTTTACTGTATTGTTTGTGTCAGATATTGCCTGGATCTGTGATTGCTGAATAGATGTGCTGCTATTCAAAGCCATGGAGGTCCTGCCAAGACTTAGCACCATTTTAACCTTCATCCTGGGGTTAGGTGTACAGAGTTATAGGAGCAGAAAATTAAAAGTCCAGAAAAAAATTCTTAAAAATGACTTAGTGTTTTCTCCTTTGGGTTGAAATCCTGTTTCTAGCAGCAGTGAGCTTGTCTTCCAAAGAAACCCCGATGGGATTCTATGGACATTGTTTATTATTATTACTATTTTTTGAGATGAAGTCTCACTCTGTTGCCTAGGCTAGAGTGTGGTGGCGCAGTCTCAGCTCACTACAACCTCTACCTCCCAAGTTCAAGTGAGTCTCTTGCCTCAGTCTCCTGAGTAGCTGGGATTACAGGCATGTGCCACCATGCCCTGCTAATTTTTGTATTTTTACAAAATACAAAAATACAAAAAAAGATGGGGTTTCACCATGTTGGCCAGGCTGGTCTCAATGTCCTGACCTCAGGTGGTCCACCCACCTCATCCTCCCAAAGTGGTAAGATTACAGACATGAGCCACCGCACCTGGCTAACATTGTTTATTTTTAAAGTCACTTCTTCCCAGCTGTCAGAGCTGTTGTGTGCAAGCATGCTGTGCCTCCATAACAGTAATTGGGTTTTTGGGCTGGGAACAGAATGTCCCTGAAACCCAACAGCTGACTTTTCCTCAGAATTGCCCATCGCAGCAAAGATGGAGGAAGTAAATGTGCAAAGGACTTTTAAAGCATAACATCAAAGGAGCTACAGTTTAGTGAATTTACATTGATGGCCCAAGTGACATCAGCCCTTTGTGTGTGTGTGTGTTCTCTCTTAATTGAGTCACAGAGCAGCCACATGGCTGGTTCTTGTCACCTGGCCAGTTCAGCCCCTCACTCTGATGGCCTTTCCTGGCTTCTGACTTGACTATATTTTAAATCAAACCATTCATCACAAATGAGTGATCTTGTGACCGTATTTGTTCTATCCCAAAAACATTTAGAAGGAGTTACGGAGTCAGAATCCTGAGCTCCTCTCGGGCTGCTGTCAGCTCCTATGCTTTGTTGGCTTCCTGGGTTTCATGCCCATCCCAGGAAGAAGCTCCTGTGAGATAGTCTTGGTGGTGTGCCTGTGTCTTCAGCATGTCCACACCCTGGCCTTGCCTGCCTTACTGTGTAAAGGAGTCCCTTCTCTTTTGTCTCTCAGACTCTTGGGCTCTGTTGCCCAGGCTAGACAGTAACAGCATAATCTCAGCTCACTGAAGCCTCCTGGCCTCAACAATCCCCCTACCTTCAGCCTCCTGAGTAGCTGGGATCACAGGAATATGCCACCATAGCCGGCTAACTTTTATATTTTTGTAGAGACGGTTTTTACTATGTTGGCTAGGCTGGTTTTGAACTTCTGAGCTCAAGTGATCATCCTGCCTTGGCCTTCCAAAGTGCTGGGATTACAGGTATGAGCCACCATGCCTGGCCATCCCTGGGACTCCTATTCCTGTGTGCTTGTCCCAGGGAATTGGAGTGGGCTGTTTCCCTCCTGAGCTGCCCTTGACTCTGGTTTGTATTTAGATTTGAATCAAGGTGGCCACCATCCTCTTGCACAGGGAGGACATTTTTGCCCTCATCAATGATACTTTCTCTTGACTGTACTTTTTTTCTTTCTCTACGGATGACTTTTCTTCATAAACGGCCTTTGATTTTATTCATCAGATCATTCCAAAATCTTTGATTGTATTCATGAGATCATTCCACAATCTTTGATTTTATTCATGAGATCGTTCCAAACACAATGAATACTTTGTTTTTTCTCTCAGGATGATGCTGTCAACCACCAAATACTAACTCTGGCTCCCTTTTCTCTTTTAATCCTTTCTCTTTGCCCACCTTCTTTTTAATTTAGTCCATTTTTGTTTTCTTGTGTGCCATACTGTGTTTATTTAAAGTATACAATTTGATAAATTTTGATGTATATACACCCCTATGAAACCATCACCATAGTCAAGCTAATGAACAGTCATTGCCCCTAGAAGTTTCTTTGGACCCCCTCCTGCTTCCCATCCTTTCACCTCCATTCCCATCCTTAGGCAACCACATCTCTGTTTTCTGTCACAATAGATTGGTTTACATTTCCTAGAATTATACAAAAGGAATCATACAGTATATACTTTAAAAATTTATTTGGTTTCTGAAAATTTCGGTAAAATACACAGAATTTACCATTGTAACCTTTTTCAATCATGGAGCTGTGTGACATTAAGTACATTCACATTGTCATGTAACCATCATCACCATTGAAGTCCAGGACTTTTAAAAGTCTGTTCTCAAACTGAAACTCTGTACCCATGAAACAGTGACTCCCTTTCCTGTGCTCCCAGTCCCTGGAAACCACCATTCTACTTTCTGTCTCTATGAACTGACTCTTTGGGTACCTCATGCAAGTGGAATCATAATAATTTTTGTGTGTCTGACTGGCTTATTTTACTTAGCATAATGTCTTCAAGGTTCATCCATGTTGTAGCATGTGTCAGAATGTCCTTCCTTTTTAAGTCTGAGTAATCCATCGTATGGATATATTACTTTTTGTTTATCCGTTCATCCAGTGATGGACATTTGAGTTCCTTCCACCTTTCAGCTATTGTAAACAGTGCTGCTGTGAACATGAATGTACAGATATTCAAAGTATATACTCTTTTTTGGTCTGATTTCTTTCAGGATAATTATTTTTAGGTTCAATCATGTTATATATATGAATAATTCATTTCTTTTTTATTGTTTATTGTCTATTCATCTATTGATGAATATTGGGTTTCTGTCTTTTGGTGGAACACAGATGGTCAACAAATATGACCATTTGTGCTGTGATCATTTGTGTAGAAGTCTTTATGTTGGATGAACACTTCATTCTCTGAGTGAGTAACCTAGGAGTAGCATAGCTATTCCATATGACAGGTGCCAGAGTGTTTTCCAGAGTACTGTATGCTTTACATCCCTGCTAGCATATATCAGTTCCACTTGCTCTTCATCCTAACATTTAGTGTTTTGTTTATTTTTTTAATTTAAAGATGAGGCCTTGCTATGTTGCCCAGGCTGGTCTCAAACGCCTGGGCTCAAGTGATCCTTCTGCCTCAGCCTCCCAAAGTGCTGGGATTATAGGCATGAGGCAGCATGCCTGCTAGCATTTGGTGTTTTAAATTTAGACATTCTTGGCCAGGTGCAGTGGCTCATGCCTGTAATCCCAGCACTTTGGGAGGCCGAGTTAGGCAGATCACATGAGGTCAGGAGTTCGAGACCAGCCTGGCCAACATGGTGAAACCCCATCTCTACTAAAAATGAAAAAATTAACCTGGTGTGGTGGCACATGCCTATAAGCCTAGCTACTAGGGAGGCTGAGGCACGAGAATTGCTTGACCCCAGGGGGTAGAGGTTGCAGTGAGCCAAGAGAACAGTACTGTACTCCAGCCTGGGCGACAGAGTGAGACTCTCAAAACAACAAACAAACAAACTAGACATTTTCATAGGTTCATTATGGTATTTCACTATAGTTTGAATTTGCAGTTCTCTAATAAGCAATAATATTGTCATATATATATATATATATACACACATATATATATACACACACACATATATATATATGCACACACACATATATATATATATACACACATATATATATATATATTTTTTTTTTTTTTTTGAGACAGAGTCTCGCTCTGTCATCAGGCGCCAGGCTGGAGTGCAGTGGTGCAATCTCGGCTCACTGCAACCTCCGCCTCCCAGGTTCAAGCAAGTCTCCTGCCCCAGCCTCACGAGTAACTGGGATAGGTGCGCACCACCACACCCAGCAAATTTTTGTATTTTTTGGTAGACACGGGGTTTCGCCATGTTGGCCAGGATGGTCTCGATCTCTTGACCTTGTGATCTGCCTGCCTCAGCCTCCCAAAGTGCTGAGATTACAGGCGTGAGCCACCGTGCCTGGCTATCCTTTATATTTTCTTTGATGAAGTGTCAGTTCAAATCTTTTGTCCATTTTTAAAAATTGGACAATTAAAATCAGTTCCAGTTGCTTTGTTTGGGTTGCTTTTCTTATTATTGAGTTTTGAGAGCTCTCTGCATATTCTGGATCTGAGTACTTTATCAGATATGTAATTTGCAAATATTTTCTCCCAGTCTTTGGACTGCCTTTTCATTTTCTTAACATTGCCTTTTGAAAAACAGAATTTAATTTTGGTGATGTGCAGTGTGTCAGTTTTTTTTTTTTTTCTTTTATGGATCATGGTTTTGGTGTCATATCTAGGAAATCTTGGCCTAACTCAGTCACATAGATTTTCTCCTATGTTGTCTATTAAAAGTTTTATAGTTTCAGGTTTTATATTTAGGTCCATGATTCATTTTGAGTTATTTTTAGTATATGATGCAAGATATAGGTTGAAGTTTCTTTTTTGTGTGTATATGGATATCTGGTTATACCAGCATCATTTGTTGAAAGTACTATACTTTCTTCACTAAAAACTTCTGTATGTTTTTTCCCCTTTCTTTTGTCTTCTGCCTCTTTGCCTGGTCAGCCTCCCGTATCCAATAATCTTCTCCTGCTTTGTTACTGTCAAGTACATTATTCCCTTTCATTTTGCCCTGTGCTTTCCTTCTTTGTCCTCAATTCTACCCAGTCCCTGTCTTCTACTCTTGTGTTGACATCAGCAGTTTGATTTCTGCTTTTATTAATATTGTGGCTCTCTCACAAGCTATGGACAACTTCCTTGGGGTTAAAGTGAGTGGTCTGTCTTCAGGCTTCCTTTTATTGATCTCCTCTGTTAATTGATGCTATCAGCTGTCCCTTTTCCTTGAAACACATGTGTTTGACTTCTGTACTTTCCTGATTTTCTTCCTCCCCAATGATTAGTCTTTCAGTCTCTTTCTTAGGCTTGTCTGGTTTCCGCCCCTTAAACGTGGGTGTTCTCAAGATTATATTTATAATCAGCCCTTTGCTTCTTTCTGCAGTCTTCTTCCTTGGAGAGCTCATCCATTCCCAGAGCCTGAAGCCATATATCCGTGGCTCACTCTGACCTCAGTTCCCTGCACTCTGCCTCTTCTTATGTTTGGTCCTAGTTTAATTGTCCTGATGTCCTGCAGATCTACAGGGGACCACATCAGCTTCCTGACTTCTTTCTCTAGGAAGAGTCCTGCCATTCTCCTCATCGCTCAAGCTCAGGCCACCTTCTTCCCTCCTTGCTGTCCAACATGCACTGAATCACACTATCACTGTGATTTCACTTGATATCTGAACGAAATGAGCACATCCTTAGGAAGAAAGATCTATGAAGTAGTTTTTTTTTTTCTTCCTCTTTCTGTATTCTTTTGGAGTGGGAGTAGGACAGTGGAGGTGGCAGGTGGTCCATGTCCAGCTTTCTGCCTAAGCTGGAGCAAGGGTCAGGAGGTAGGTTCCTGTAGCTACCAATGCAGAACATGGTCTCAGGAGTGTGTCACCCAGATTGTATTAAATCATACTGTGGGGACAGTTCTCACATCTAAGTGGAGTTTTAGTTCAACCTGATGTTAACATTAACTGTGGTTCTGGGTGGTGAGTGCGAGGAAGCTGAAGAAGCTTCTCTTAGTGCCAGCAACATTGAGAAGTATACCATCATTATTTGTGAACTAAGTGTAAGACAGAATTACATCACACTTACTATTACTCCAGTGTCTTGGGCAGGTGTTCTGGGGGCTGTGTGGAAGCCCTCTGGTTGGGTCAGTAGTCACTCTTCACATCTCTTCTGGGGCAACTAGAGCTACTCATCCTCAGGAGTGACCATGGATAGACTGATGAAAAGGCTGCCCTGGCTCTTAAAGGACTTACTGCTGTTCATGTTCACTATGTGCTGCACAGACCAGGAATTAATTCCACTTTCTGTCTGCTAGACTCTTGAAATTGGGACAGGCAGGCAGGCGTGCAGCAAAGGAAATGAGAGAAGCCTATTAAGGCCAAGGAGAGTGGAGGCTGAAGGCACATGGGAGTAGACTACAGCCATGTCAGTGAGTATCAGGAAGCTCAGTACTCTGTGGGGAAGCTTGTGTTCAGGTACCAAATGTGGTGGATGCAGGCAGGGGCCTGGCAGGTGCATTATAGCCTGAAGGACTGGGGTGAGGCTAGAATTTGGCTCAGCCACTTAGTGTATGTGACTATGGACCATTCCTTTAGCCTCTGGGAGCCTCTGTTTCCCAGAGACGACAACCTCCCAGGATGTGGTCAATTCTGTGTACAACCCTTTGTGGCTAGGCAGAGGTGCCCCTTGATGGCCTGTCCTTTTTATTCCCCTCTAATTGATGTTCTATGTCTCTTGTCTTCCATGTGAACTTGGTATCACCTAGGATCCATGGCTTTGAGGATGGCTAGTGCAAGGATGGTGTCTCAGCTAATTTGTGCTGCTATAACAGAATACCTGAGACCAGGTGTTTATACAAAATTTTATTTTCCTATAGTTCTGGAGGCTGGGAAATCTAAGATGAAGGCTCTGGCAGGTTCAGTTGTCTGGTGAGGGCTACTCTCTGCTTCTAAGATGGCACCTGATGCTGTATCCTTTGGAGGGGTAGCATGCTGTGTCCTCACATGGTGACAGGGACAGAAGGGGAAGAGAGCTGGGTGTTGCGTGAAGCCTTTTTAGTAAACGCCTTAATCTACTCACAGGGGAGGAGCCCTCATAACCCAGTCACTTCTTAATACCATCACATTGGCCATTAAGTTTCCACAGCTGAATTTTGGAGGGGACATATTCAAACCATAGTAGATGGAAAACATATAGACACTTTCTACAGAAGACCCTCGTTACAGTGTTTGTTGATATGGGGCAGGCTACTCAGGTTCATCACTTAAGTATTTTTAATGCCTTTGTCTGGAGACAGTTGGTTTTGTCAGGTGAACCTTGTGGCTGTCAAACTTGCATGGACCATCCCATGTTGAGATGGGACTTCAGTAAGTGTGTTAACAGATAGGTATCAGGTCTCCTTTTCCTGCCAGGCCTGCCCCTAGGGAATGGAATGACCTTATGGTGAAGTATCTCCTTGTTAAGCCTCTTCTAAGGCAAGAACTAACTGCTTTTCCTTGGCAGCCCAAGTAAATGTTCTCTATGACAAATGGCTTTCTGACATTTGTTTTATTGTGGCTGTACTTATTGAAAGACCTGTATATAATTCACTACAAAGAATTATCAAATGAATGTAATGAACATTGTCAGAAACTTGGCTGGATTTCTGAAGTATTTTTCTATTTATTTTTTTGGATTTTCAGTCAAATCATATAATTATGTTTGATGAAATATCTAGTTCTGCCAGTCAAAAGGGTAATAGTATGGGGATTGCTAATTTACACATGAGTCAAAAATACTCCTCCGAAACACTTTTTAAGCGAGGCAATAAAAAGTGACTATTATGGCTTGAAGTGAGATAGGCAGACAGCCCCCTACCCAAATGTCAGATGTAAACTAACAAAGCATGGTTACCCTGGACATTGGAAGGAGCTGGATGGCCAGCCTGGGGCCCAGATCTTGGGGCATTCCCTGCCAGCCTTCCAGCCACTCTCAGAGCAGGCCTGCTTGGAGGATCTTGGCCCATTTATATGCCGAAGAGGATCAAATTGGCTAACACCAAGGCTTTATAAATAGTAGGACTGTTTCTCCAGCCTGTCTTCATTCTGTTCACAGCTAAAATATCCTGGCAGCCTGTAACTAATGAGAACGGAAAAGTACTGTTTGCAGAGACTTTAGCTAGCTGACTTGAATGCTCCCGTGATGCTTTGTCACTGATTGTTGTACTTACTGCTCTCTGGGGGTGGCCGTTCCTTCCCTTCCAAGTTGAGCTGGGCCTCAGGTAATGAAAACATCAACACTCTGACCAAGACCCCAAGATGGTCACAAGGAAAGTCCATTTTGTCCTCATGAGAGTATGACCACACACACGCTCACTGGCTGAGAGCTGTGACACCCAGAGGTCATAGGCCTGGCCAAGTCTATAGGACTTGAATAGTCTACCCTCATGTGTCAGTTGGGGATAATAATTGGACTGGTATGGACCCATAGGTACGTGTGCAGTAATGTCAGATACATCTAATATGTTTTCTCACGTGAGCTCTGTACTACTTCTGCAATGGAAGTGTTGTTTCTCTGACTTTACTGATGAGCAGAGTGGAGGCTTAGAAAGCCAAGGTTGTATCACCAATCAGTGGGTGGGCAGGGATTTTTGACTGCAGGGTCTGTGTCCTTAAATACTGGTTTCTGTTCTCCTTTATCTGGAATTCTTGAAGGATGTACCTTGCATTAAACAAATTAGACATGTAAAACCTCTTTGCCTTGGCTTTTCACTTTCTCATTAGAGAACTCATCGCTTCATAGAACTTTACATCAGCTAAAAGTTGTCATAACGGATTTCCATGCAGTGTATGTGACTGTTTGTGTTATGTTCATTTCTGTCTAGATATACCTTCCACTGAGCACACCTATGTGCACATACACAACCACCCCTCTTCCCTTCCAAAAACAAAACAGGAAAAGACCAGAGGCAGTCATTGTTGATATGGAGAAACGTGCAGAGACCTTATGAGGCAGATGACATTGGAGGTCAGCAGTTGAGAAGGGGCAAGCGCCTGGTCAGAAGGAAGAACCTGTGCAAAGAAATGATACCATTGAAGGGATCCTGATACTCCTGTGTTCCTGGGGGAAGGGAGTGATAGGGATGGGGCTGGGCAGGGACCATGCTGTGCATGTGTCTGCCCTGCCAAGACCCTGATTCATGCTAAAGAATTGGGGCTTATCTTTAGAAATTGGGGCAGTTTATCTAACTCAAGAGTGTTTGCTCAGATTTGTCAGAGAGGTAACAGGCAGCAGTCAGGGTGGCCAAGGTAGGGGATGCAGAAAGGATACATAGTAGGCAGCTGTTGCAGTTCAGGGGTGTATGTAGTTCAGGGAAGATACAGAGATAGTGCTGTGTTCTTTGGAGTGTAAGGGGCAGGCAGCGGGAAGGGTCAGCCTAAGGAAACCAGTGAGATGGAGGAGAGGGACGGCAGGTGAGGGTGGAGGGGTGGAGGAGAGGGACAGCCTGAGGAGTCTAAGGGTGGGACATTCATGTCAGATGTTGTGGAGGTATCAGATGGGCAGAAACTCAGAAAAGCAAGTTTGGTTATGATTCTTGGAAGTCACTTGCGATTGGTAGAGATTTCACGGTGGGGCATATTGGAAGATGAGGTGGAAAGAAAATGACTCAAAATGTTTTGCTGGGAATAAAAAGAAGAAGGCAGCAGCCTGAACAGAAGGCTGGTTGAAAGAAGAGCTTGGGGATCCAAGAGACCAAGTGATACAGGGTCCCACAAAGGGGAGTAGGAGTTTTTCCCAGGCCCGTAGGACTCAGCATTACTGATAGTCAGTGTTGGTAATTAATGTCAAAGTTGGATGTTACATAGTCTTCAATTAGTAGAGGAGTTTTGCTCTGTCAAATAATTCTTCACTTTACCAAAAGGACTTACTGTAAGATTCTGTTAAATAGGGAACTTGAGTTTGTTGAGGTTTTCTCTTTGTAAATATATATAAATGCTGCACTTGTGTGAGGTTCCTCAGGGATGGGGCCCTGTCTCCCAGCCAGAAAAGCTTTCTGTTCTTTACATCCACCTTCGCCTGTCCCCAGACCTGGGACACCCGGGGTGGAGTGAACAAGTCTTGGAGGGAACGAACATTTGTGTTTATCTGGGTGCTTTCTCAGAAAGAAGAGGGGCAGAGGGGCTGCTTTTCTTTTTCTGGCTTTCTCTTTTTAGATTTAAAGGCCCAGGAACAGGTGATAAGAGGCATTGAGATGAAAAGGTAAAAGTGTTGGGCAGGGACCCTGAGTCTGTAACCTTCCTTGTGCTGGCCTGAGCCTTCCTCATTCCAGAATTCTGTTCTCAATACAGCATACCTGGTTTTGCTCATAGAAAAATCTCTAGCCTTTTCACATGATAGCTTCTTTTAAAGGTGAGAGGTATCCAAATGCATTAGGCTTAGATTAACACACCTAGAATCTCACTTTTATGAGAATTTCATAGATTATGCTCTTGAATTCCAGCTGTACATTTTTGCTTGCAAACACAGGCATTTCAGAGTATAACGAGAGGAGGTTGGTGCTCATAAAGAAGGCTGACTTCACAGTAAACCACCTCCCAGGGGAACTGAAGATGGGGCTTGAGCTGAGGTGGGGTCTCCTCTCCACCATCCTGAGCAGCAAAGAAGGCTGACTTCACAGTAAACCACCTCCCAGGGGAACTGAAGATGGGGCTTGAGCTGAGGTGGGGTCTCCTCTCCACCATCCTGAGCAGCAGCTGGGCCCCAGGTCTCCCAGACAGTCAAGGACGTTGGCCTAAACAGCATCCAGCTCTTAGAAGTCTTGTGAAATTGGGCCAGGCGTGGTGTCTCACGCCTGTAATCCTAACATTTAGAAGGAGGCTGAGGCAGGCAGATCACTTGAGGCCGGGAGATCGAGATTAGCCTGGCCAACATGGTGAAACCCCATCTCTACTAAAAATACAAAAATTAGCTGGGTATGGTGGTGCATGCTTGTAATCCCAGTTATTCAGGAGACTGAGGCAGGAGAATTGCTTGAACCCGGGAGGCAGAGGTTGCAGTGAGCCAAGATCACGTCACTGCACTCCAGCCTGGGTGACAGAGTGAGACCCCATCTCAAAAACAAACAAACAAAAAAAAAGAATTCTTGTAACATTGAAAACAAAACTCAGACTTTGGCTACCTGAATCTTGTTTAATGTACTAGGAAAGCTGGTAATTTAAAGGTAGCAAATGTGGAATGTCTTTTTTAAGATTAGTGTGCAGTCTCACTGTACCTGTTTTCTGTTCGTTTTTTTTATGTTGGATGTGTTCAAAGCTCATCCCACCTGTATCCAGAGTGTGTTAGAAACTGTGTTGGATGTGGTTGTTCTCTTTCTGGAAGGTAGGGCTCCCATGACAGCCATATAGACTCTCTTAAGCATAAAATAAACCAATAAACAAAATGCCTACTTTCTGTATGAATACATTGTCATTCGATGTCGTGGTGTAAAGTGTGAAGGTGCTATAAAGAAAAGGGGAGAGTTTGCCCCTCTTGTAGTTAGGGAGGAAGCTCAGCTTTGGTAAAGACTTGAGGGTGAGAGGGAAGTGACTGAATGAGTCAGCTGAGACAGGAGAAAATGGGTGAGGTGAGGTGAGCCTCCACCTTGTCACCTTGGCCCCTCCCACCTTCAGCCCTTCTCAGGTAGAAGTGGTTCAGTCTCAGTGTCTCTGGACACCCTGGCTCTGCCCTGGGTCCCCCAGGCGCATACTGTCTTGCATGTGCTTACACTTTCAGGCTGGCTGGCAGTCTCTGCTGGTGCCCCCAAACAGCCTCTGGATCTACTCCCTTTGGCGTTCTGCAGTCTACTCTCCATGTGGCAGCTGTGCATTGACCTTTTAAAACAACCAAATAACATTGGTCCCTGTTCCAACCTTGCAGTAGCTTGCAATCACTTTTTAAATTAAATTCTGAACTCTGTTTTAAAAAGCCCTGTGCTGATCTTGGCTAGTAAGATAGCTTCTCTTCATTGATAACAATATTATTTGTATTAATAATCTACATCAGTAAAAATATTAATGATGGTGACAGTGATGACTGCAGCTAACACTTATTCTGAGCCTTCTCTGTTGACCAAAGGCTCTGAGTGCCACTTAATCGCTTTTGATTAACTCCAAGTTTGTAAGTCCCATGTTGTTCCCATCTTTTCTCACTAAATAGAATAGACTATTAGTCCCTTGCACCTACAATAGTAAGGGAACCTGGGCCAGTATTCTCTGAGTAGCAGGTGGGGCAGACTCTGATGTGTGGGCTAGCTGTGGAGTCCTGTCCTGAAGCCTGGGATCCAAGTGTGGGTAATCCTAGCTGTGAAGGTGGCACAGAGAAGCCAGAGACTGGACAGAGGCTGGGCAGGGCAGGTAGACATGGCGAGTCCTTGGCTGGGCCGGATGTGGTGTTTCTGATGCTTTCATACTTCAGGCAGAGTAAATTGGTGCTGTTGTTGGTGGGAGCAAAATTGGACAATGTGGAATTCATTTCTCCCTAGAAGATGGGGTGGTTCTTGGTACTGATAGTCCTCCTACATATGATATCGTCAAGAAAACAAAAGACAACCTCACTAGTTATATCAAAGTAGTTTAGTCTAAGAATCATTCAAAATCTACTGTTGCCATGCTGTGAGTAAAGCTAAGAAACCAACATGACAGTGCCCTCCACATACTGACTGTTGTGAAAACATGCCTTGTTATTTTTGGAAAGTCCTCTTGGTAGATCACTAACATCTTCGCCCCCAAAACGGCAGGAGCAGTAAATAACAACCTTCTAGATAAAGCAAATGGGAAAGCATTGCCAGAATTTGCTATATCAAGTGCTGTGAACAGTGGCAGCCAGCAGGGAAATTATGCAGAGGGAGAAAAGTGCTTTTATTTGCTTTTCAAAGTTAGTGGGACTGGAGGAATATGGGAAATGGGAAGAAAAAGAGGAAAAAATGAGAAAAATACAGTCATCTTCAGTTGAAAATGGTGTAAACCTTTTTGCTTACGACTGTAATTCAGTATCAAGGGCAGGAAACTGTTAACTGAGGTATTACTAATAACCTTATGTTGGTGAGAGAGAGAGCTCACTATGTATGAAGACTGGTAAGAGCTTGTAAGTCTCACAACAGCATAAGAGTTGGGATCATTATTGTTCCCATTTTCTAGATGAGGAAATTGAGGCTTTAATGAGATTGAGGAATTTGCTCAAATTACACAGCTAGTATGAGCTGAAGCCCACAATTCAGACTATGGGCTGGCTTGAACCACATGGTCTGAATTGCCACAGCTGCAGATTTAAACCTCTCCCGCCTTCCCCTCTTTGATGTTAGTTGGCATGGTGTATTTGTGAAAACTAAAACCAGAAAAATCGGAAAAAGAAAAGCCTGTGGTCAAGTTAATAATCATAATATATGTTAATTAAATATTAAC